TTAGCTTATGCATTTTTTATAATACTTTTTCTATTTGAAAATCACCATTAGACTACAGCCAGTGCTTATCAGTATTTATAGTAATTAAAAATGGCTTCTATCTAAAGAAGGTGAATATGGTTGATGTACTTTCTGTACAAGAATAAAAATAGAATTTTTAAATCCATTGACATCACCATAAGAAGAGATGATTAAAGTAGAAAGGGGAAAAATGAAGGAATGAAATAGTTAAGAATACAATACATACACACATGGAAATGTCATAATGAAATTCTCAGTTTAGCTGTCTTAAACAAACATAAATGTTTCCAACTCAGCATCACATACCAAACCAACTAATACAAATATATAACATGACAAAGTGCCCCACAGGCAGGATGTAGGAAAACAAGTACACATTCTTATTCACACTGTGAATGGATTCACTGACTCTGTAGAGCAATTTGGAAAAAAGTTAAGAAGCTATTCATATTTTTTGATCAAATAACTTTGGTAATCTGCCCTAAAAGCAAAATATCATTGTAATTTGTTACAAATGTCAACAAGACAAAGATCCAATATAGGATTGTGTATGGTAGGAAAAGGGGGACACATGAGCTGAAAGTGCAGCTTTGCTCCAGTCTGTCTTCCACTAGCTTCTTGTTGTTTCCTTCCCTGGGGTGCACCCTCTTCCCTTCCACCACATGTTATCCAGTTCAGGACTGCCTTTATTCTACCCAGGAGCTTCTCAGAGTTTGTTTTTATTACTTTTGTTACTCCTGCTATCCTCATTACTATCTAAGCTTATGCTTGCTATTACTTCTTCTGTATTGGTTTTGGGGAAGGCAGCCAGCAGCTCATCCTATTTTGCCATTTTGGTATCACTGAGCCTATTAAAGAGTGTTTTGCCCCTAGAAATTGAACTGTTAGCGCTGCTGTACGTCTGTCTACTCTTAGAACATTTCTCATCTATTTAGAATTTGATTAAATTGACTATCTCTTTTCTCCTATTATTCCCAATTATGGAGTTTGAAGAACTAATTATAAAACAAGAAACAAAAGGCAAGAGACTTTATTCTCAAGGACATTTTGTCTGTAGCCATATATTGATATGTAGCAGCAATGCATCTATGGAATAAAGAAACACATAAAACATCGCAGAAAAAAACTCATCTTTCCTAGTACATATTTATGAGAATCAGTCTTTTATGTAAAGTCCTCCTACACATTCCTGTGAAACTGTTTCCTATCAACATTTTTAGAGAGGCAGAATCAAAATGGGACATTATCACCTCCACACTCTGGGGCTCAGATATGTTGATAATCAAACACTTTCTTCAACCTAAATGTGTTTTTCTAGCCATCTGTAACACATCTTTTCCAATCTAGTATAGAATAGGGATCTGAGTCAATAGGCAAGCTAGTGACCACAATCCAAAATAAGGAGAGCCTTTGTAATTGTATCTGTCATAGTGGTTGCTATAGAGATTAAATAAAATAATCTGTGTAAGATTCCTGGTGCAAAATAAATACTGAAAATTTAGCAATTATTTATCATGTACAAACAGTAAGGTTAATATTCAAAACAGGATGAATTTATTTTTATTGAAAATGAGATAGTGCTTGCTTGATGAAAGTACATCGTACATAGAATAGTGATCATTGTGTTCTGGAAAATGTTGCATTCATAGTTAGTACATTAGAGAAAATTTTCTTCAGTCTGAACTAACTATCCATCTGGTACCATGGCAGACTAGGTTCCCTGGCCAACTTTCCCTTTGAAAATAGCTGAAAAGGCTAAATAAGATTTTTTAAGGAACATTTTTTAAATTGCCTTTTGGTTAAGATTAACTGAAGAACATCTTTTTAAATGTATTCTTAAGTGTAAGCCAGTTTTCCTAAGGATTTGCTACCTGGACTCACAATATCAGAGTATTATGAAAAGTCTGAGGCTGAGAACTTATTTTAAGTTATCTGAGGTATCTCCAAGTATGTTAGAATGCATGATTGCTAGAGAACCTCCTTTCAATTCCAACAGAGAAAACTCCAAGAAATAGGAACTCACATTTAAAAAGAATATGTGAGAAATTATGAGTAGCAGAATGGGCCCTGAGAAGACTTGAGAGACTGGAATTATCAGCCATGGAATAGCAAAGAGTCCTATTAAATATTTAATATATACTTAAAGAAATTTTAAATGGATTTTAAATAGCAAAAGCAAGTGAGTTTAAAATCTTGAAGCATATTTAAAAAAGAATAAAACTTCTAAAGATAAAGGCAGAACAATTAAAACTAAAAACAGATCTGACAGTAAATAAATCTACAAAACATTTAGAATGTGGGTGTGAATAAAAGAGATGAAAATTATGAAAGAGAGCTTAAGAGAATGAGAAAATCCAAGATACTTCTAAGTGAGTCCCTAAGCAGGGTTGTGAGGAATGGAAAGAGAAGGAACAGAGCCTAGTCAGCTGAGAATTTTACTATACTTATCATAGACTCGGGACAAGTACATGTCCTGATTGACATATATAAAAGGACATCTGTACTAAGAGAAATCATAAAGAAAATGGATGCCCATGAAAGACAGAGAAGATCTTAGAAGCAGCTAGAGAAATGAGACAAATTACCTTCAAAGGAGTAACAACTGGCTATTCAACAACACCTATGAAGTTCTTCTCAGACCTGTAAATACTGAAAGTCCTGGCCACTGCACCTCTTTGAAAGAACTTAAAGGATATAGTTGGGGCCAAAGGAAGGGATGGCTATTGGGAGGTCAGAGTTGTAAGATCAAGTGATGAAAGATGTCAGTAAATCAATGGGTCTGTTTAAGTAGCTGCTAACAGAATAAGACAACAATCTTAGCAATGCTGAATTAGAAAAACAAGTAGGCTAAAAATAATAACAGTATCATATAAGTGTGGAAGAGGTTGACACAGCTCACAATGTCCTAAACTTATTATTCAGGAAGATATCAGAAATCACTATCTTGAAAATTTAATAAAAAGCATGAGTACCAAAGCTGCTTACTGTTACCATTAAAAGAAATACAATATAGGTCTTCCTAACCAGGAAGATAAGGAAACTAATGGAGAAGAACATTATTTATTTAGAGTAAAAGAGAAAAATTGAAATTCACAAAAGGCAGTGCGAATAGCATAAGAGGATGAAAAAAGCAAATATTTTGGTATGTGCAAATTAACTGGACAAAATGGTCTATTTAAAAGACAAATATTGATATGTTTTTAAGAGAAAATTCAAAATCTATATGCTGTTTATAAGATAAATATCTGAAAATTGAAGATACAGAAAGGTTTAAAGCACGACTGAAAAAACATACCACACAAATAATTCTCCCCCCAAAAGAGCTGCTGTTGAAATGTGTTAATCTCACATAAAAGTGACTTTATGGCAAAATAGATATGGGAGATGATGAGGATCATTATTTGATGATAAAAGCCAATCAAGTAATACATGAACCATATACCATCAAAATATATGAAGGGAAACTCAACAGGATACAAAAAGAAATAAACAAATCTATCAGTGTAGTGGGAGATTTTAACTTACATCTTTAAGTAATAGCTTACACTTTAAAAAAATCAGTCATTTGCCAGGCGTTGGTGGTACATGCCTATAAGCTCAGCACTTGGGAGGCTGATGCATGAGAATTTCTACTTGAAAGCCAGCCTGGGCTATATAGTGAGACTCTGACACAAAAAGCCAACACTACTACTACAACTACTACCACCAATAATATAATGATAATAATAATAAACAGCAACAATAATAAAAGATTTCAGCAGCATGCAAGTTTGATCCAGTGGACATGTATAGAATACAGCATTCAACAACTGAAGAAAATATAGGATACATCTTCCTTAGTAATCAGACATTAAGCTTTTTTAAAAACTGCATAGCTTGTCATCAATCTCAACATTTTTTAAAGAATTAATGGAAGGTATACTACATTCCTAAACTCAGTATGATCAGTGTACTTATAAAAAGAATTTAGAGGGCTGGCAGAGTGACTCAAGTGGTAGAGCACCTGCCTAGCAAGTGTGAAGTCCTGAATTCAAACCCCAGAACTACCAATAATAATAATAAGTTTAGAAACACAGAGGCATTGATATCCAGAGAACAAATCCCTGTGAAGATAGAAGGAGACATTTGAGTGACATGTCTGCAAAGCAAGGTACATGAAGGATTGCCAGCAAATACCAGAAGTGAGGAGAGAGATGTGGGATAGATTCTCCTGCAGAGCCCCCAGAGCACCCATTCAGCCTATACCCTGATGCTTAGATTCCAGCCTCCACAATGGTGAGAAAATAAAGTATTATTTTAAGTCACCCAGTTTGTGATACTTTATTATGACAGTCCTAGCAAACTAATGTATTCCATATACTTACGAATTAAGAAACATACTTCTAAATGGTTCATAAGTCAAAAAAGAAAAGTGATTAAAGGAAGTTAAAAATTGCACACTAAATGATAATGAAAATACCACATATCTAAATCTATTGCTTTAGGTGGAACTAAAGCAGTAGAGATACATTTAGAGAGTTAAGTTTTTAGAAAGAAAAGGATAAAAATGAGTTAAGTATCCAAAATAAGAAATTAGAAGGACCACAAAATAAACCTGAGGAAAGTAGAAGGAAGGACCTAACAAAATCATACCAAAAGTAAAGAAGAAAAATGCAGTAGAGAACATTGGGTGAATTTCAAGAACATGATGATGGTAAAAAGCAAGTTTCAGAAGAATGCATGTAACATTCCATTTTCATATTAGAAAACAAGTAAATTAGGCAACGTGTTGTTTCAAGATGCACACATAGGTTTACCTATGTGCTAAGAGGAGATGGCATGGTATTGAGGAATGAGGAAAGAAAAAGAAGGTGTGAGGGAAAGAAAAAAGTAAAGAGGAGCAAATTGTTTCCATATTTTCATGTTTCATGCGTTGACCTTGTGCAGTTCTTCTTTTGTGACTTTCCTATTCATGTCCTCTGCCTGTTTTTCCAAACAAGGTTATTGCTGACATGGAGGCCCAGGTTCATAAGTTGAGGCAAGAGCTGGTTAATGTGAACTCACAGCGGAAACAGCAGCTGGTAGAGCTTGGTCTTCTTCGTGAGGAGGAAAAGCAGAAGGCGGCAAGGGACCATGAGACTGCTGTCAGCAAACTGAGGGCTGAGTCAGAAAAGATGAAGATTGAGCTGAAAAAGACTCATGCTGCTGAGAAGGAGCTGACTTTGGAGAAGGTGAGCGATCTCGTTTGAACTTTTAATAGTCAGTTAAAACCCATGTTTAAAACTCCCTGCCACCTCTCTGACATTTAATCTCTAAAAGGCAATAGATGTGAAATTACTCTTCAAATTTATAATCTCTTTAAGTCAGCCACTTAAGTTTCTAAGCACCACCAAAATAATGAAAAGAATTCCCTGACTTTTCCCTTGACTTATATGGAAAGTATTAAATGGAAGTTTCCATTCCATAGTAATTAAATACACATTATGATAAAACAATATTATTAAATATCATTATATTGATTAGAAATACTTAGGCTGTAGCCCTAAATTTTTCTAGATTAAGTTTCAGATTTTTCCTAGGTTGTCTAATAATTATTTCTAGACTTTATAGTTTTTTATAACACTATGGTTGATATTTTAGTAGAAATAAAAGTTTCTTTAGAATCATATGTCATTGAAGTATATATCAATATTACACATTTTGAGTTGACTTATATTCAAGACACAATATCAAATGATTTTTCTTTGGTATTCTGAAAATATGTGTAAATATTTTAATCAGGTAGTGTGAATTGCTGTGAATCACAACAGCTATAAACAGTCCCTCAAACTCCTTATTACCAATGCCCATATCTTTGGAATAAGAACTTTGAAATGGGTAATTTAAGAATCATCTAATTCTGTTCAACCTTTTCTACCACCTCTTCTTCATCTTCAACTAATGTTGAGCCTTCAAGGAGTACATTCAATGTTTCTAGGAATTATACCACTGGTTTTATATAGACTAAGATCCTAAGGCCTTATAGTACTGTAATTCAATGGAATGTTAGATTTTAGCAGATTTTGCCCTTGGTAGTGTATCCCTGAACCCAGAAATAAATAGGAAAGAAGCCTAAAAGAGGCAGGAGTGAGCCTGGCTTCCTGGAGGGGACAGTGTGAGGTCATGGGGAAATGATATGGCTAGAAATTATGATCTAGGAGAACAGGGGATGTTGCTGAGACCAGGGAAGAACACACAGGGTCCCTGTCTAGGTCAGGTAGGTCTCCATGGGCCACAGAGGGGGCTTTATTTTGACTATGAGAAGAGCCTCAGAGGGTTTGAGCAAAGAAGTGAAATGATGTAGCTCACATTTGAATGGGACTCTCCAACTATGTGCTAAGAATACACTGAATTGAGGGCAAAGTGGCAAAGTGGGAAACCAGTTAGAAGGCTATTGCAGTAATTTAGACAGAAGAAGATGGAGGTGTGAGCCTGGGAATTAGCAGCAACAGTGATGAAAAATAAATTGGGGATGTGTTGTGAAGGTAGAGCTGATAGGATTTACTGTTAGTGTAGATGTGGAGCATGAAAGAGAGCGGCTAGGGCAGTCAAGGGTGACAACAGGGTTACTTGCCCAAGCCAGTGGACAGAGCTGCCCTTTCCTCAAAAGAAGACTGCAAGAGCAAGAGGCTAAGAAATGTTCAGGCTGAGATGCCTTCAAAACATCTAAGTTGGGGATGTTAGTAATAATTCTATAAAGTAAAAAATATATATATCGTTTCAATGCTAAAATTTCAGGAGTAGGGAAATGTGCCTATACAAAATAGTCTCAGACCCCTGACAATGGCAGATAAAAGAGAGGCTGACAGTCTGTTAACTCTTACGCACACCTCACCTCTGCCCACCGTCAAAACTCTAAGTAGATATTCTTAAGTGGCACTGGTACCAGTGTGTTTTTATTAATTGGACATGCCAATGCCAGATTTATGTCCAACTTAGGTCTTTATTTTCTTGAATTATATATATTCATATTTGAAATGTTTTCTTTTCAATAGTACATGAGCTTTTGTTACTAATTTACAGGTTGCAGATAATTTTAAAGAATAGTATTAGAAACCATTGATAATTCCTTTGGAAAACATTTTTGGAAGATTTTCTTTACCCCAAAAATGCATTTTCCCAGGCACAGTGGGGATAAAATGAAAATAGACTAAAGAGGGGTAGGTACTGTCCTGGAAAAATTATGAAGTAATAAGTGATCACAAGACAGAAGCACTTGACTATAATGCAAGGTAGAATGTGAAATTGAGGAAAGTTTACCCAAAGTGAGGTCATTTGAACTAGACATAAGTAATATGTAGAATTTTGGCTAATAGATATGAAGGATGGCATGCCAAGTAAAAGGAGAAACAAAAGTAAGAACAAACCAAACCAATTACGGAGCAGATAAGTTGATCATTGAGAGTGAATGGCTAGTGATCAGGCTAAAAGGTAGGTTAGGGGTCACTGAAACTCTCCAAAACTGTGGTAAGTACTTTTCACTGCATAGGGTAAATGTCAAGAAGCTACTGAAAGTTCCCGAGAAGTGAAGTATTGGGATGCAGGTGATTATTAGGAAAACGCTTCTGTCTGTGTGGGCAAGATGTTGTAGCAGTAGAAGCCTTGACAGGTGCTGGGCTAGTCCAGGAAACAGCCCTTAAGGGTGCATCAGAGGTGCGTGTAATGTAGCGGGTGTCTCAGTGGCAACAGGACAGAAAAGACATTCTTGTGAATCATCACAGAGATGGCATTGATTATACTTGTTAAGTATAAATTTAATCCTTAATCAATTGGAAACATAGGAGAAGCTTCTGGTTTGGAGAGGATTAATTCAGTTAGGAACGTGTCAAGTTTGAAGTGCTGCCTGCACTCAACTGTGATGTTCATGTGCTGCTGAAAAGAATGTTTGTGGCTATCCTAAGAGAAGGCAGGACTGAAAAAAAACAGCTGCAGGAGTCACCCCCAGAGAGGACATGAGCTCAGACCTTGGGAGAGAGTGAGACTAATAAAGAGAGGAAGGTAAGTAGGAGGGAGGGGTGAAAGGAGGGACGGAGGAAAATACAGCGAGAAAGAGAGAGAGAGAGAGTGAGAACGAGGTTGGGGAGGAAACCCTCTAAGGGTCATCAAGGTAAAAGAAATATGAGAATTTATTTTCATGGCAATAGAGGGAAATAATATTTGGAAAGGAGGCTTGTCAAGAATGTAACAGAAAATCAGGAAGCATGAGGGTTGAGGAGAGGTCACTGGATTTGTGACAGTCAATTGATGATCTTGGACAGGGCCTTGAACATGACAATGTAGACAGAAACACATTTGCAAGAGATGACTGAGGCACTAGAGATGAGAGTACTCTGTTGATTGGGAAAATCCAATGTTAAAATGAGGAAATAAGAGATCTAAAGAGCAGTGGAAGTAAGGTGAGTGTAATTTTGCACTGAACATTGAGCATTCTAAAGTATACAGAAGGATGAATTTAGAGGAACAATCTACTGATATGAAGAATTGTAGATAGTTGGTGATGTGCAGTTGGGAGGGGAAGGTATGAATGACATCCCCAGTGCAAGTCCACCTTAGCCCTTGGTACAAGTGTCCAGACGCATGAGACATGCCATATTCTCTCCTGCCTCCAGGTCCTTATACCTGTCACCTTCTACTCAGAATATTCTCTTATTTTCATATGGCCAGCCTCCTTCTCATCATTCTCTATTCCTCAAAACATCCTTCTTTGACCTTTTTGTCTCAAATCTGACCTATTCTAGACACCATAGCCCTATTGTCTCCATAGCCTATCTCACCTCTAAGATCATCTTTTTATTTGTGTTCACTTGTTTATATTCTCTGTTCTCTCCTACTCACTAGAACTGAAGCTCTATGAGCAGGGCCTTGTTTGTCAGTTCTTTTCTGTATCACTGATATCAGAAAGGCCTGACCTGCAGTAGATGGTGGCCACTAGTATACATTTAGTAAATAAGGGGGGGGGGCGTGTCTTTTGCCTAGTAAGGAGGGAAGAGGAGGATTGGTAAAGATACAGAGAAGTTCCTTGACAAGACTTCAGAAGACCTTGTACCTAAATGTCTATCATGTATTTTCTTAGTAAAGGGCCATAGTAGTGTGCTTGGGTCAGGAGTTTCAAGAAGAGTGAAACATCTAACCTGCAGGCTGAACAGGTGGGTGGGATGCCATTGTAAGAAGTGGAGTTGAGGGAATCTGTCAGGTAGAATTGGAGTCCTGCAGATAGAGGAGGCTGCGGGAGAATAAGAGTCTGAAGAATGGAATGTTCCTGAAGTAAAAACTGAGAACACAAGTCACACAAGGAGACAGAAGTAGTTTTAGCTGTCAAGGATAAAGAAGATACTGAAGGAGTTAGCCAGAACACATGCACTTGTGGACAAAGAGGGAGAGTCCAGAGAAAGTGTGAGGAGCAGTAAATAGAACAGAATTTGGTGTGCTGAGTGACTATTGTTGAGTTGATGGAATTTTCCAACCTCATAATCCATATGAAAAACCCAAGTGCAAAGCTCTTGATACGAAGTTATTTGTATTTCTAATTGATAAACATTTTTACTTAACTAGCGAGAGAAATTTCACATTTCCAAATCAAAGAAGACCTAGATTGAGTCAAAAGTATGCCTGTGAAATATTAGTTTCCAAGGCTTCAGGATCAAGGACAGTACCTTCAACAAAGTAGGCATTCATTAAATGTTAAGTGAGTGAATAAAAGAATGATAACTGAGAAATTTATTATAGCCCCTGTATATGGTAATGTGGATAAATAAATTGTGATTGATTTATTGAAATTTGATTTCAACCCATTATAAATACTTTGGATAGCACATATGCATGGATAGGATCATGATACATTCACTCATTTGTGTTACTTTAGTATTATAATTTCCTCCATATTACTTAATAAGTTAAACACAAAGCATATTTTTTCAAGATATAGTTTTAATTTTTCTACACAGATTAATGAACACTCACTGTGAAAGTTTAAATGCACACTGACAAGCTGATAATTTAGTTGCTAACCTGTTGTGTCATTTTGCAAGTTGCTTGCTTCTCATTGTATTTATAAAAATTTTAATACTTAAATAAATCTGAAAGTTAAAATATTTGCTAACAATTCAAAATCTTCTCAGAATTGAGGGACTTAGAAATTGATCTTCTGTTGTTGAGTATAAAATTGAAGTTCATAGAGAAGAGGACAATAACA